ACACACACACACACACACACACACACACACACACACACACACACACACACACACACACACACACACACACACACACACGGCAGGACTTTACGTCGCTGTACCACGGGTTTGAGTCGTTCTTCACGCGCAACATGTACCGGCGGGTGCGGGACTGCTTCAACCGTCCCATCTGCAGCGTCCCCGGCGCAACGCTCACGCTGGTGGAGCGCCGCACCGACGATTACGGATGGACTTTCACGTCAGTTGCCAGCAGAGGGGGGAGAGGGCGAGACGGAGGGAGACGGGCGATGGGGAAGAAAAGATGGTGTTGTGCATACGCGCGCTAGCACTTGACTTGTCCAATCATCGCTCCAACCGGAAACACTCACATTCACACACGCACACATGCACACACGCGTGTGCACTCATGCTGACCCTTGTTGTGTTGACGCGGTGAAACAGTGCCACGGGCGAGAAGAAGGAGTGCATTAACCTCGGATCCTACAACTACCTTGGTTTCGCAGAAAACCACGGTGCGTACTTGTGTACGTGTACGTGTTGTTGAACAAAGATTTACTCGTGTAATGCATGACACACACACGCGTACCGTTGAGTCGCTCACCTACTCTCATCTCGCGTGTTGCCTGCATGCATCACTCCCCTCATGTGTCGTCGATGGTCCAGGTCCGTGTGCGGATGCGACGATTGAAGCCATCAAGACGTTCGGCGTCACCGGCAGTTCCTCCCGCGCCGACCTCGGTCCGTCACAGTGGTTTGGCGCTGTGTTGTGTTGTGTTGTGTTGTGTTGTGTTGTGTTGTGTTGTGTTGTGTTGTGTTGTGTTGTGTTGTGTTGTGTTGTGTTGTGTGTGTGTGTGTGTGCGTGCAAACACTGCCGTGTACCCGCTACCATGCTCACCAACCCTTCCCCTCGTCCTCCTCGTCATCACCAGGCACGACCACGCTGCACCGGCGCCTGGAGACGAGCGTCGCGCGCTTCGTTGGAAAGGAGGACGCTGTTGTCTTCGGTATGGGATTCGCCACAAACTCGACCAACATGCCCGTCCTCGTCGACAAGGTGCAGGCGTGCTGGTGGTTGCTGTGTTTACTGTGTGTGTACACGTGTGTGTGTGTGTACACGTGTGTGTGTGTGCGTGTGTGTGTTCTTGTGTTCTTGTGTTCTTGTGTTCCTGTGTTGGTCCCTCTTCCATTTGCTTTTCACCCAAATTGACGTCCCTGTCATTGATGGATGCAGAGACTCACCCCACGACTGCCTCTCTGTCATGCCCATATGCTCACACAACACACACACACACGTTCACACCACGCCAGGGCTGCCTGCTGCTGTCTGACGAGTTGAACCACGCGTCGCTTGTGCTCGGCGCGCGGCTGACGGGCGCCACCATCAAGGTCTTCCGCCACAATGGTGCGTCTACCCACCCCTGCTCATGGAATCGCGGCTTGATGTGATGGGGTGGTTTGATTGGTTTTTTCTTGTGTGTGTGTGTGTGTGTGTGTGTGTGTGTGTGTGTGTGTGTGTGTGTGTGTGTGTGTGTGTGTGTGTGTGTGTGTGTGTGTGTGTGTGTGTGTGATTGCGTGGAACCCAATGTCTCTGCTTCCCTGCGACGCGATGTGAGTTGCACCTCTGCTCACTTGTGAACTCACACCCCCGTCCTCATGCAACCGAAACACCGCGACACCACCCGATCCATTCCCCCTCTGATGTGCAGACATGGAGCACCTTGAAGGGCTGCTTCGCTCGTCCATCATCGAGGGGCAGCCCCGCACCGGCCGCGCGTGGAAGAAGATTCTGATTGTCGTTGAGGGCGTGTACAGCATGGAGGGCTCGCTCGTCAACCTCCCCGATGTCATCCGCCTGAAGAAGAAGTACGGTGCGTATGTGTACTTGGACGAGGCGCACAGCATCGGCGCGCTCGGCCCAACCGGTCGTGGTGTTGTCGAGCACTTTGGCTGCGACGTGAACGACGTGGATATCATGATGGGCACGTTTACCAAGAGCTTTGGTGCCGCCGGCGGTTACATCGCCGCAGACAAGGTTGGGGGGGGGGGGGGGGGATGAGGAGTGAGGAAGGGGGGGGGGCAGGTGAGGGAGGGGTATGATTGCGCGTGTGTGCATGTGCATGTGTATGTTTGTGTGTGTGTATGTTTTGTGTGTGTGTGTGTGTGCATGTGTGTGTGTGCATGTATGTGTGCATGTGTGTGTACTTGTGTGAATTCATATGTTGATGCTTGTTGGATTGCTCTGCTTGATGTTTGTGTGTCGTTGGTTGTGCACTCACTTGTTGCATCGTCGGTTCAGGCCATCATCGACAGTCTCCGCGCCCACTCCCACAGCCAGCGGTGAGATTGCACAGGGCGCGATAGAGTGGTTATGCGCCCGCGTCTGTGTGTGTGTGTGTATGTATGTGTGTGTGTGCGTGCGTGTGTGTGTGTGACAAAGAGCGTGCGTGGGACAGTATTCACGCGCACAAGCCTTACGTACACTCCTCCTCACCACCACCACCGCCACAACCACCACCACAACCACGACGACCACGACGATCGGCTGTTTGCAACAGGTATGCGACGGCGATGGCGCCGCCGGTCGCGCAGCAGATTTTGTCGGCGCTCGCCATCATCAGCGGCGAAGACGGGACAACGCGAGGTGCAACAGACATTCACGCACACATTCACGCATTCACGCATGTGTTGATACATGCAGAGGGGAGAGGGGAGGAGCGTGGATGTGTGTGTGTGTGTGTGTGAGTTGGGGTGGATGCAAGCGTAAATGTGTATGTGTGTATGTGTGTATGTGTGTTGGTGTTGGTGCATTCGACGGGGGCGCCTTGCTTTTCACACACGACACATGCGTACCAAGTCGCCCACCTCACGTCTCACCACCACCACGACCACCATACACCATCCGTCCGTCGTAGGGCAAGAGCGGATTCGGGCGCTTGCGCGCAACTCGGCGTACTTCCGCCAGGCCGCGCAGAAGATGGGATTCATCGTCTACGGTGGGGATTGGAGAGGAGGGGGTGCGGGCGGACTGTGTTGTCATGGTGGTGTCGTTTGTATTGTTGTGTTGTGTTGTGTTGTGTTGTGTGTGTTGTGTTGTGTTGTGTTGTGTTGTGTCATGTCGTGCTTGTTTTGAACTCATTTGGTGTCTGGTTGTTTGTTGTGCGTCCACTGTTGAACCCACATGCACAAACCCCGCTCACACGTCACCACCACCACCATCATCATCACCACCACCACCACCACCGCCATCATCAGGCAATGACGCGTCCCCCATTGTCCCCGTCCTCATCTACCACCCGGCCAAGAACGCGTGCGCGCCCGCCCATGATGTCATGTGATGTGGTGTCATGTGGTGGGACACGGTGTGCCAGTGCAATATCTCGTGGTTGTTTCACCAACACAACAGCCTCGCATTTTTACCACACGTATTCACACACACACACACACACACACACACACACACACACACACACACACACACACACACACACACACACACACACACACACACACACACACACACACACACACACACACACACACACACACTCTCTCTCTCTCTCTCTCTCTCTCTCCATACACTGTTGACAGTGCGCTATCTCGCATGATGAAAGACCGGGGCGTGGCCATTGTTGTCGTCGGCTATCCTGCCACGCCCATTGTCGAATCCCGTGCTCGCTTTTGCATCTCTGCCGCACACACGCGCGAACAGCTCGACCATTGCCTGCAGGCGCTCGACGAGGTATATGTGTGACATGTGTGTGCGTGCGTGACATGTGCGTGTGTGTCATATTTACACGTGTGTGTGTGTGTGATATTTACGTGCCATTGTTCTCGTTACTTCCACACCTAAACCTCTGCAACCATCCTCACCACCACCATCACCACCACTACCACCACCACTACCACCACCACCACCACCACCATTGAACACGGGTTCAGTGTGCGGGCCTGCTTGGCCTCAAGTACTCGCTCGTGCATCCCCCGCGATCGTTTGCAGACGTCAAGGCCATTGCTCACGAGGCGAGCGCACTTGTGTAACCGACCGCGCTGATGCTGGTGCTGGTTGGTGGAGTGTGGATGGATTGGACAGTTGTCAGTTGACTTGGTTTTGGATTGTGTAGTTTTGTTTACTTGTGTAGAGTGAAAGTGTGCTCTTCATTTATGTGCTGTGCATGTGGACGTGTGTGTATGTATGTATGCATGTGGACGTGTGTGTATGTGTGTGTGTGTTTGGATGCCGACTTCTTCGGACCACCATAAAGAATCACCGATTGAGACACGTTGAGAGAGAGAGAGAGTGTGTGTGTGTGAGTGTGTGTGTGTGTGTGTGTGTGTGTGTGAGTGTGTGTGTGTGTGTGTGTGTGTGTGTTTGCGCCGCTCTTTGTCTCTGTCTCTGTGCGTGTGTGTCCATCATCACTGCATGCTGCGTTGACTGTTATTTACGATATGAGAGATGGAAGTCACTCCACAACCTTGATCGCCTCACGAGAAGAGGCTGCACAAACTGACACGCAGTCAAGGAAACACACACACACACACAGACACAGACGCGACTGCACACACACACACACACACACACACACACACACACACACACACACACACACACACACACACACACACACACACACACGGACGCGACTGTTGTCCCAGCTGCAAGAGTTTGTCGAGTTGCGTGCTGTTTGCATTCTCGTGTCATGTCACGTTACACACCATTCATCATGTCAACAACGCCTGAATATCCAGCACCCAATAATTATGCAATGCCGCCCTTGTCTGCGAATGCGATGAAGTGCGCTGGTGTCAGTGTGCGAGCACCTTCTGCTTTGCCTCGTCGTACTCCTCCTGGGTGATGTGCCCGCCCTTGAGCAGCGCCACCAGCTTCTCCAGCTCCTGTGCAGCAGCAGCAGCAGCGAGGAGAGGGGGGGGGGGCGACGCAGTGGTGAAAGGGATGTGAGAGCGTGGGGTCAGTTCCAGCGCCGTTGGAAACGAAGGGCATGACAAAACAAGCGCGGCCATTGCTCGCAGTGTCGTAAAAGTCCTGGCAGAAGACAGAAACAGACACACACACACACATGCAGACACAGACACACACACACATGCAGACACAGACACAGGCACAGACACAGACACAGGCACAGACACAGACACAGACACAGACACACACACACACACACACACGCACGTCAGAGATGGAGGGCTGGACGGCGACGACTGGTTGAGAGGTGACGGTGTTCTCTCGATACCACATGAAGGAGATGCCCAGTGCGTTGTTGATGCGCAGCTCGTTCTTGAGTTGATCAAAGGACTCCACGATGCTTCCCATGCGGTCAATGTACAGCACGCCGTCACTGCCGCGCCAGTACTTGATGTACATCACCTGGGTCCTGTTGGCCTGCACGCACGCATGAAGGAACGGAGAAGCAGCATTGAATCACACACGCAGTGGGGGCGTGGAAGGCACGTTGAGCAAAGAAGGGAGCAAATAGCAAAGAAGGGAAAAACGCACACGGATCAACTCCCATACGAACGACCCGCAAAACATGCACCGACACAGGCACGGAAAGAAGCACACACACACATGTAACAGGCAGACAGACAGATACAGATACAGACAGACGCACGCATGCACGCACACTCACAACCACACACACGTAATCTCGATCACACACACACATGCAATCATGCACAAATAAACAAGTGGACGAGTTTGGACATACCACTGCAGCTGTGACTCGTCGCCCATCGACGTGACGCGTCCGATTGTGCATGCCACCACTCATGATGACTTTTGGGCCCTCAACGTAGATATCGGTGTACATGATGGTGTGTTGCCTGTGTGCACGTGTACAGGTGTTTTTGTGGCATGATGGCATGAGGTGGCGAAAGAATTAAATGAGAGTGAGCATACAGGGTCGTTCGTGTGTTCGGTAGTGGAGCACACGATCATGAGATCATACCATGGCAATGCCAAAACAGACATAACGAAGCAGATACACGTGGGTCCACGCAAGCACTAATGCAACAAACGCTGAAAGTATGGCTTCCTGGCGTATACACGAAGCGTTTGCACACACACACACACACATGTACACACATACATACACACACACAAACACACACACACACACACACACACACACACACAAACACACACACACACACACGCACACGAACCCACACACACGAACACACGAACACACACACACACACACACGCTCTCTCTCTCTCAGTTGGCACACCTGCCGCTTTCGAGGGGACGAAGCTTCCATGCTCCTTGAAGGGGCGCCAGCAACTGGTTCTGCTCTTCGAGGGAAAGCAGCTTCGCATCAGCTGGAATACCGCGAACCTTGGGGATGAGCATCCCACAGCAATACATGCATTTGAGGCATGGGTTGGAGACGATGTCTGATCCTGGCGACATGCGATCGTCCACGGACAGGTCCGGGTTGCCCACGTCCATGCTTTGTGTGTGTGTTTGTTGTGTGTGTGTGTTTGTTGTGTGTGTGTGTGTTTGTTGTGTGTGTGTGTGTGTTTGTGGGTGTGGCAGTGCGTGTTGTTTTGTTGGTGATGTTGTGTGTTCTTGGTGTTTGTGGGTGTGGCAGTGCGTGTTGTTTTGTGTCCCTTGACATCATCAATCGCAGTTGCATGAGACTGAATTCAGTACGGGTTGGGCGATTGCTGTGGACGGGCGAAAGTTGGTGGAAAACATGATCGAATGGCAGCGTTCCACAACCGTCGTCATCCGTCCATCAGTCAAGGCGCAGGTGACAGAAGCAAGGGGCATCAGCACAGCACGCACCACAGCAACCGCAATCAATCAAACGCCCACGCATGCCCACGCACCGCAACCGTTCCCCCCAATAACTGTCCAGCTAGCTAGCCAACTGCCTCACACCCAGCATCTCTGTCCGCACTCTGTGCGTCTGGTATGAGGCCGCACCAAGTGCTCGTGGTGGTCGTGCTGATCACCACGTGTGTCCTGAGTGCGACGTTGTGGACGACACTGCACTCGCGGCACCACCACGGATCTTCAGCTGCCCACGACGACGCCCACGACGCCTTGCGGAGGAGAAGGGACAGCGTCACGCTTGACGTGGGCACCGAGCAACAGCCGCTCGCCGGGTCACCTAATCAGCACCACCAGCACCACTTCTCAAACTTAACCAACAGCACTGCGGAGATCCAAATCCTAAACAAAGTCAACCAGATGTACGATGTCTTGCAGCAGCTGCTCACAAACCAGCAGCAGCAGCAGCAGCAGCAACAGCAACAACAGCGACAAGTGCCCAGCGCCGCACGGAACACCAGCATGCACAGGGAAGCGATACCGGCATCACAGGCAATGACAGCACGGACACAGCCCCGTTCCCGTATCCTGGGCAGCAAGTTTGCGGCATCTCTCGGGGAGAATTTCACGGTGCTCTACATCAGCCGAGACGTCGACGTTGTCCGACAGGGGCAGATGGAAGAAGGTGTCGCTGGGCTGTGGGGCGCCAAGCGAATCCCCGCTATCGATGGCACCCACCAGGAAAACGTTCTACAGCGCCTCGCCGGCACGCCACAGCAGGCGCAAGCGACGCTGCAGAACCTCGTGACAGACAAGCGCAAGCCCGCGAAGGTGCACTTGAAGGAGGCGGCCGTCTCCATCTCACACCTCGACGCCCTGCACCAGATTGCAGTCTCGGACCGCCCGTACGGCCTTGTCCTTGAAGACGACGTGACCATCGACCTGCTCCCGTTCTGGACGCAGACGCTGCAGGCCTTTGTGCAGAAGATGCCTGCCGACTGGAAGCTGGTGCGCCTGGCCATGTCCGCCAAGGAGAGCGAGTGGAAGAAACTCTTCAAGCAGTGGCGGGGCGAGCTGGCCTTCGCGCCCAACTCAACGACCGTGTACGGCGCCATCGCCTACCTCGTCCCGCGAACATTCGCCCGGGACGTGATGCGTATGCCGTTTGTGCAGCTCGATGCAGCCGCCCCGACGCAGCGGCCGCTCAAGGTGTGGCTGCAGAAGCTCCCGCGCTTCCCATGCATCGTCGCTGATGAGTGCCTCCTGGACCGCATCGCCGCCGGCCACATGTACACGGCGACGCCGCCGCTGCTCAACATCCCGGAGGGGCGGCTGGACCAGCCCGACAGCACCGTGCGCGGGCATGTGAAGGACATCCACCTCTACTCCCGGCTGCACTCGCTGGATTGGGCGGCGCACAAGTTCCAGGAATGCATGGCTAAGGCACCCCACCAGCGCACCGTGCAGAGCTTGGACTGCGGACAACTTGACACACATGTCAACAACAAGTGACAATGCATACATGTGTTTAGGTGTTTATCATTACATTTCGACTTTCTCTCTGACTTTACTCTGCTCTCTGCTTGATTTGACATGACCACCGTTGTTCTTTTGACGGACAGTGGGTGATGTGTGTGCGTGTGTGTGTGTGGGGTAAGTATTGTGCGAGCTCTTTGTGTGTGTGTGTGGTGGGGGGGGGTGTGGGTGTGTGTGTGTGGGTGTGGGTGTGGGTGTGGTGGGTGTGTGTTCTGCTGCTGCTTTCCGCTAAGAGAATTCGTCATGACTTGCTACACTTTCCACTGACCGCAACAACAACAACAGAGCCAACTGGCGCTCCCACATTCACGTCACACCCACAACTCGCACACAGATCAACAGTCGGGTCACAAGTGGAAGTAGAAGAGTAGAGAAGTGAATGACACCTCTGAAGCTGCGTCAAGACCCTATCAACACCAGCAGTTAGCCCCATGACGTCCCCTCTCAGTTCTTCTTCCTCCGCCGTCCACGGCGAACTTTCATCTCACTCGGAGCAAAGCCGACCGGTCGCGAAGAAGAAGCGCATCTTCATCTCACTCCGGTTTGGCGAGGCGCACGAAGCGGCAAAGGAACTCAAGCAGGCGCTGCACGAAGCGTGCCATGATGTGGACGTCTTCCTGTGTGATGTGCCGCCTGGCGACGACATCTCGGAGGAGATCATCACAGCACTGACAGACTGTGACCTGGCTGTCATCATGGGCACAAAGACCTACGGAAAGAAGACGGCCTCCAAGTTCAGCACCTTCGAGGAGCTCAGGTTCATCATCAACGAGGAGAAGCCCTACTTCCTCATCAAGATGTGTGACGAGTTCCAGGTCAAGCAAACACGCTTCCGCCTCCCCGCCGACATCTCCTACTTCCTCTGGAACCCTGATTGTGGCACACCGGCGCATGGCACCGCCACGACACCTCGCCGCTTGGCACCACCCGCAGAGCTTGTGCCGCAGATCCTGAAGAAGTTGGGCGCTGTCACTGGTGCCGGGGACGCGGGCACAGCGGTGTCCCCTCGCCGTGCGCCGCCGCGATTGGACGCCGAGCTCACCCCGTGGCTCGATAAGTATAGGCTGCTGGGCACCGTCGGATACGTTCTTGAGCGCCTGGGCATCACAAACCTGAAGGCCCTTGAGCAGGCCACGCAAGCTCTGCGCAACACGCGCCAGCGTGCGGTCCTCCGCCGTGATGCCGAGGCAGCCGCTGGCAAGCGCAAGCACAAGCACAAGCACAAGCAACGTGGCAAGGGGGCCAGGGCCGCGTCCCATGCAATGGCAACAGCATCGAACGGAGGCCGCCAGGGTGAACCCGCATCCACGCAGCTGATCGAGGACATGCTGAGGCGCGAGAAGTACGACGCGAACAACAAGTTGCCCCCAGCTGTGGTCGCGCGATTTCTGCGAGCGTGTCGAGCACGCACGTGGCGCGGGATCACGAAGCGCGCGCAAAAGGCAGGCAAAGCAGGCAAGGCGGCGAGAGCAAAGGCAGCCGGTGCTGAGGGCGAGGAGGGTGGAGGGGAAGGCGATGGTGACACGGACGGCGGTAATGTTGGAGTTTATGGTGTGGACAGCACGGCAGAGGATGGCGTCCTCAGGGAGGACGATGCTGCTGCTCTGGCCATGGTGGATGGCGATGAGCAGCAGGGGGACCCAGCAAACGGAGAGCACAGCGACAGCCCCAAGGCGGTGCATGAGCATGTTGCATCGAAGCCGGCGGGGGTTGCTGACGAGCGCGTGTTTCTCGAGTGTTTTGAGCGGATCAAGGACGAGGCCGCGTGTAAGCAGATCATCCTATCAATCTGGAACAACACCAGCGACGAAGAGGAAGCGTAAGAGAAGCCACAGAGGCGGAATAGGGAGAGGGAGTGCGTGTATTTGGAAGGAAGCGCGGAGAAGCAAGTGCGCATGCTCGGCTTTGGGGTCTCGCGCGCACTGTTGCTCTGTGTGTTCTTAATTTCATGAGCTCCTGGATTCTTGAGCGTGCACACAGACAAACAGACAGACAGACAGACGCACAGACAGACAGACAGACAGACAGACAGACAGACAGACACACGCACACTGCGCCGCCACTTTCACTGACGCTGCTTCTCGGTTGTTACATCGTTCGCTGTGTCGTCGACTAGCTTTGTTGACGACTTCACACTTGACATGGCGCGTGCGCTTGGCGAGGCGTTGAAGGGCAACACGACCGTTAAGGATCTCGAGTACGTGATGCTGATCAGGCCATTGTTGTGTGGCGTGTGAGTGCACCCTTGATGGTCATTTTGGGCTACTTTGGTGCATCGAGAGACACTTGCAGATTGCATCGTTCTTGCATCTCTTGTGCATCTGCTCTTGCCCTCACACACACACACACACACACACACACACACACACACACACACACACACACACGCACACACACACACACGCACACACACACACAAACAAACAAACAAACAAACACGCACACATCTTGTTTTGCCTTCAGTCTCAGCACCATTGAAATTGACGGCGAACAAGCACGGGCGATTGCGGCTGCGCTTCCGTTCAACACCACACTCGAAACCCTCAAGTCAGTGATGCGAACCATGGGCCCGAAGGCAAACACACACACGTGCACATGAGCACCAAAGCGTGCACTGACGCATGCACACGCGCACCAACATGTCTTCAGACTACCAACTCCTGTTGTGCCTACCTGCAGTGTGCTTGTGCAATGGGCGTTGCCTGTGTTGCTCATCTGACCGTTGCGTCGTCACGTCTGCGCAGTATGGAAGGAAACGAGATCGGGCCAGATGCCGCAGTCGCCATTGCCGACGCTCTCAAGCGAAATACTTCCATCGTTGAATTGGAGTGAGTCCAATCATGCGTGCATGTGTGTGCGTGTGTGGGGGGGGGGAGGGGGGTTCTGTGCTTCGTGTGCATGTGTGTGTATGTGTGCGTGTGTGCGTGTGTGCGTGTGTGCGTTTGCACGTGCGGGCTTCAGCCGTCGCCTTCTCACCACCGTCCGCTGCTGTCACTTGTGCCGCTCACGCCATCGTGGCGGTTGCGCAGTTTGGAAGACAACGGAATAGGACCGCGCGGCCTGAAGGCCATAAGCGAAGCGCTCCAGGAGAACACAACGCTTCAAATCCTCCTGTAATGAGCATCGTGACTGTGCACTGTGGATATGTTGCGTCGTCGCACTCACATTTGTCTGTATGTTAGTGTGTGCATGCACGCGTTCGTGTTTGTTTGTTTGGGTGGATTCGATGGTGAGACATGCCAATCATCAGGTTGTTGTGTTACGTGCAATGAGCCAGGCCAGTGAACTCACCTCTTCCCACAAACACACACTGCACACACACACTTGCACACACTTGCACACACTTGCACACACACACATGTCGTGGTTGTTGGTCGTGTCAGGTTGGGCGAAAACGATCTCCTTGGTGTGCCGGAAGACGCAGAGTCGGATTCGGAGGCCGACATCTCTGGTGTGAAGGCGCTGGCTGATGCGCTCAGGGTCAATCGAACGCTCCTCTGTCTGAGGTACAGATTGCGTGTGTGTGTGTGTATGTGTGTGTGTGTGTGTGTGGTGCTGCTGGTTGATCGCAGTGAAATGATGCACTTTGTCGATGCTTTGGTTTGCTTGCCGCATCAACAGCAGAGGGAATGGAAGCAGTCATGCCAAAGACCGTCATGCGTGTGCTCATCACATGCTCTTCGTTCCCTTTCGCCGTTGCGCATTGTTTTGTCCATCACCCAACCAGTCTTCGGGACAACGTCATGACATCTGAAGCTTGGCGCCTCATCTGTAACACGCTTGCCATCAACCAAGGCCTGGCAGAAATCGAGTAAGTCGTGTGCGTGTGTGCGTGTGTGTGTGTGTGTGCGTGTGTGTGTGTGTGTGTGTGTGTGTGTGTGTGTGTGTGTGTGTGGGTGTGGTTGCGTGTGCATGTGTGTGCATACTTGTGCATGCGTGTTTGTGTGTGTGTGTGTGTGTGTGTGTGTGTGTGTGTGTGCGTACTTGCGTGCCTGCTGCTGGGCGTGCGTACAGCACGTTTTCTCCTGGCCACCGTCGTTGCTTTCCGCTCAGCCCCATCCTCATCCTGTGCCATTGGCCGCACCCACATTGCCACATTGCCAACCCCACCGCACCCTGCCACTGCACTTACCAGCCTCTCTGAAATTGAGATCACCGACACGGAAGCGCGCCAGCTCCTGCGCGCTCTTCGCGTCAACCGCCGCATCATCGAGCTCGAGTCAGTACAGCCGTGTAATTTGTGGCCGCCGGGGGGGGGGGGGGGGATGTGATACTGTGACGTGGTGTGATGTGTGTGGTGTGCATGTGTGGTGTGTATGTGCGTATGCGGTGTGGGTTGTTGGGTGTCAAGAGTGCAGCATGCAATCAGTTCACATGTCATTTAGCCGATCGCATGTGGTGTTTCGATGAGCTCATGTCAATCCTGTCACTATGCACGACACTTACACAAACTCGCATGCACACACACACATGTACACAAAACCACACACACACACACACACATACACACACACGCACGCACACGCACACACACGCACACACAAATGCACGTGTACACACCACACGCCTGCAGCGTTGACATGGACGAAGTGTCAGACGGGTTGGACGATCGCATCATGACCGTCGTCGAGCGCAACGAAGAGCGGCAGGAGGCGCTGGGGAGTCTGCTCAAGCTCGGCTCCGTGCCGCTGTCCACGGCCAAGGTGTTCGTGTGCGGACATCAAGGCATCGGCAAGACGACACTCATCAACACGCTGCAGGCGTCGCCGTCATTTTTTGCGACGCTGTTCCGGCGCCGGCGCAAGGTGCTGGACGAACCAGACCACCCGGAGCAGCGCACGCCGGGGATTGAGATGCACGACTTTGCGCTGCGGCGGAAGCGGTCGTCTGCGAGCGTTGTGCTCACGGCATCCACGTCATCGTGTGCGCCCGATGACCCAAACGCCAGCGCAGACTGGCTGCACGCTGGCACGGACAGCGACAGAGATAACGACAGTGATGAGGACGAGGGCGATGACGATGATGAGAACGGTGGCGGCAGTCGTGCCTCGACCTCCAGCAAGAGCGCACCCCGCTGCAAGCTGCGCGTGTATGACTTTGCCGGGCAGACGGAGTACCACGTGGTGCACGAGCTGCTGTTTGCGGACCACAACGCCGTCTTTGTCGTGTGCGTGGACCTGTCCAAGGACAAGGCCACCGTGGAGGAGTCTGTGCTGTATTGGCTCCGCTTCATCAAAACGCGCCTCGCACAGGCCGTTCACCGTTCGCAGCACCCACCCCACGTCTTCGTTGTCGGCACGAAGGCAGACAAGGTGCACGAGCAGAACGCTCTTGCATCCACGCCCGCCGCTACCGCCACCAACAGCGCCGTGTCCCCGCCGCCGCAGCTGTTCCCGGCCGGCGACGGGCTGCTGCACAGCTCGCGGCTGCGGGAGTGGTTTGGCGACGCCATGCGCGTGCACCCGTTCCTGGTGCCGCTCCGCTGCCACGACGCACGGGACGCCGGCACCCAGCACCTGCGGGACCTGCTGCACGCGGCGTGGGTGGAGGTGACGCAGCAGGAGGTGAGGGTGCCAAAGGTGGTGGAGCTGATTGCACGTGGCATCCGCGTGTGCCGGCGGCAGGACGAAGGGCCGTGGCCGGTCGCCAAATTATTCGCTGCCATCAAGGAGCGCGTTGCCGATCTTCGCGAAACGCTCGAGTTTGACGAGTCCGTCCTGCGCAAAACACTCCGGTGCGCATGTGTTCGTGGGTGTGTGTGTTGGGGGGGGGGGTGGTTTAACTCATTCGCAGATGCCGATGACTTGTTTCAATCTGCCTGTTCTCGCTTCACCCAGCCTTCACATACCCCCCCCACACACACACATTGCACGAGAGCAGGTACTTGCATGTGCGCGGTGATGTGCTGTGGTTTCACGCGGTTCCATCGCTTGCCGACCAGATCTTCGTGTCGCCTCCGTGGCTGCTGCGTCAGGTCGTTGGTCCATCGCTCGCGCCGGAGCGGTTCCCACAGCATCTGCACACAACCAACGGCCGCGTCACCTTCAGCGAGTTTGAGTCCAAGCTCGGGCGCATCATGCCCGCGGACACCGTGGTGGATGTGCTTGCAAGCATGCTGTTGTGCTTTGAGGAAGACCAGGCCGTTCACAACAGCAGCGAGCGCCACTTTGTGCTGCCGTCGCGGCTGCAGTGGGACCCTGATCGCCTGTGGAATCCTGCAGACGCCAGCATGGACGTGTACGCGGGCCGCGGCCTCGTCGTGCCCCGAGAGTCTGGCATGGTGTTCCCTCCGGGCGTTTTCCCGCGCATTCAATCGCGCATGGTGCATTGCTTCGGCGCCGGCACCAGCGTGTGGCAGAACGGCTTCATCACGCTGTTTGCCCCCGTCGAGCTTTACGGGCGCATCATCGGCGATGAGCGCATCGATCTCTGGGTGCGCTGCCCAAGCAAGTTCAAGGAGGACGCCTGGCTTGCTCTCGACATGGTGTGTGTGTGTGTGTGTGTGTGTGTGTGTGTGTGTGTGTGTGTGTGTGTGTGTGTGTGTGTGTGTGTGTGTGTTAGTAAGTATGTACGTTATGGTGTGTGTGTGTGTGTGTGTGGTGTGTGTGTGTGTGTGTGTGTGTGTGTGTGTGTGTGTGTGTGTGTGTGTGTGTGTGCCTGCCTTACGCTGGCTTCTTGCATAGTGTTGTGGTTTGCGTTGCGTCGTGTCATGGATGTGGTATGTGCGAGATGTCACCACACACTATTCGACATTGCCCTCACTGCCAATTCCAACTGCAACCGACGTGGTGCGTGCAGATGTTGGCTGAGGTGGAGGAAGAGGTGCAAGGGATTGACTATGACCATCTCGTCCTGAGCTACGTCCACCTCTCGTGCCTCCACCCGTTCCCTGCCGGATACGCGCTTGCAGACGTGGAGGATGCAGCACTCGCTGGTGAGACGCACATCTCCACAATGCTGCCCAATACGTCGCCAGCGCACACCACATCACCGGGCACGCTGACGGACGAGCTGGACAACTTGTTGCGTGAGGACCTGTTCTTGAAGCCGCTTGCGTTGGTGCAATGAGAAAGTGGGGAATTGGGGCAAGGATGCAGGGTTCTGGTGTTCTTGGTTGTGGCTTGCTTGGATGCAGCTTTGCATGATTTCTTTGGTGTGAGTGAGGAGGGATGGGGGAGGGTAAGTGGCTGTGTTGTGATGAATGTGATGAGCGTGATGGATGTTGAGTTTCATGTTGATGACAACCAAGGTTTCGATCAGTACATTACAAACAGAAATGAGTTGTGCTTGTTGACTTGTGTGGATACTTGTGTATTGATGCAGACTCAATGCATAAGAAAGCTGTAGGATAAATGACACCGTTCCCTTCATAACACACTCTCTATCTCTATGTTGCCTCTGCTTGCCGAGACAGAGGACTGGAATAAAGGACTGAGGTAGAGGACTGTAGTGGAGGACTGCTTATTGCTGACGCACATTCCAACAACCGTGCCTGATGACAGCTTTTTTACTCGCTGGGGCCGACCGGCTCCAGTGTGCTCGTCGTGCCATTGGTCAAGATGAAGTCGCTGCAGCCAACCTCGCGCAGGAAATCGGGGCTGAGGCTTGAGCTAAACGCTGGACCGGGGAACACCATTTCGCCCTCCGCCGTCCACGACGGCGTGTACTCGTTGTCGTTGGTGGTCCAGGCGTGAAGTCGAGCACAGAGAACCACAAACTCAAACAGGAAGAAGATGAGGAAATGCACAATGGGCGCAACGAAGCGCACGCGACGCGCCGAGCGCGGGCGATGCAAGCAGCACTTCAGGATGAACCATGCCATGAAGCTGAGCACGAGGTTAGCGCCGACGATGCCGTACAAGATGAGGGCAGGCAGGTCCAGCACGTCGCTGAAGTACCACGGGGTGTCCAGGCTGCCTGGAATCGGCGTTGGCGCCGGCGTCTGCGTGGTGAAGGGGCCCGTCGTCCATGTCGAGGTCGGGGAGGAGGTCAACATGCTGGTGCTCGTCATGTTTGTTGTTGCACTGGTGGTGACATTGGTCCCGTTGAAGGTCGGGAACATGGTCGTGTTGGCCATAACCGTGGTGTTCATGGTTGTGTGTGTGTGTGTGTGTGTGTCTCTGTGTGTGTGTGTGTTTGTTGTACTTGTGTTGTACTGCTCTGTGTGAGTCGCTCTGTGTCTGTGTGAGTCGCAGCTCTGTGCAGGCTGATGGTGTTTTGAGGTCGTGTGCGACTGTGGGAAAATGGTCTGGAAAGAAGAAGCAGAGGAGCGTGGAAAGATTTGGCTGCTTGAAAGGGGAGCTGCCTGGGCTGGGCTGCGTTGGGTCGGACGCTATGACGTCGATCGATACGCTGGCCTGCTTGTCGATGGCAAGGGTGCTCGAGAAGGAAACGAGGGGAGGACTGGCGAACGGAGAAGAGAATGAGAGAAAGAAAGCACAAACGTCACCACTAGACCACTCCTCCGTCTCCGACGCAGTGATTCCCAAAGAGAAAAACCAAAGACCACACGCAAGGACACAACACGACACACGCCCCCCCCCCACCTCAACGCCAATGTCCAGCATGTCCAAAGACCGAGAGAGAAGCCTTTCGTGCAAACTTCCTCTTCGAGGGATGTCCTTCCTCCCGCCTTCCTCATCTTGGTTTCTGTGCCTGCCGCTAGCCTGCTTGTGGCGCTGAAGCTCCACCGCGCGAAAGGCGAGGCGGAAGTCGGTCGACCACGCACTTTCCCAGCCAGCGCGCCAAGAAGGACCCGTTCTGGAAGTGGCGCGTCTCAGTCGCCACCCAAAGGTTAGAAGCTTGGTTGTTGTGTGGCTTTGTTTGCGGTGTCGAAGCGAAACGCTGAAACGCGTCTGGGTGCGTTTTCTGCACTGCCCAGAACGCATGCCAGGCTTCTCGCTGCTGCGTTGGGTGCCCCGCCCACCAACAGGCCAACTGACTTGGGCCCGTCCCATTGGGTTGCGGTGGAGTGCAATTGGGAGAAATTGGGGCGTGGCCTCACGAAAGACAGCAAGAAGAAGCAAAGCTGCAGGGTTCATTTCTCAGCTGTTGCGCCTGTTGTCAGTGTTCTCCTCTCCTCTCCTCCCACGCCCCTCCCCCCAAAGCGCCACCGCAAGCTTGTGCGTTTCTCCGCACGTCTGCCTTCAACTTCAGTTCTTCTGTTACAACAACAGAGCCACGATGGCCAACGAGCACCGCCTGACAGACGGCGTGTCTGTGGAGGCGATCAAGACCTTCTTCGCAGACCTGCAGAGCGAGTTCCCCGACACGTACACTGAGATGACTACGGAGGATGCCTGCAAGCAGCTGGTTGTGCCACGCACGCGCCAGGACAACTGCGCCTACGTCGAGCAGCTGCACAAGCAGTCGCCAGAACACGTAGACAAGGCCACCGTGTTTGTGTCGCACGCATGGCGGTACAAGATCGCAGACGTGCTCAACGTCTTGCTGGAGTTTGCGGATGAGCAAGCAAGGAAAGACGACAGCAAGCCCGTGTTCTTCTGGTTTGACCTCTTCATGAACAACCAAAACGCCAACGTCACGGCCAACCTCCCACAAGAGTGGTGCGTTTTGTGTGTGTGTGTGTGTGTGTGTGTGTGTGTGTGTGTGTGTGTGTGTATCTGTGTGCAGCTGTGTGTGTGTGTGTGCAGCTGTGTGTGTGTGTGTCTGTGTGTCTGTGTGCAGCTGTGTGTGTGCGTGTGTGTGCAGCTGTGTGTGTGTGAAACTCTTGTGCTCTTCAACAACCACTGCTACCCACGCACACGCACACAGACACACGCACACTGTTCCCTCACAAGAACTGCAACCCCTTCCCCTTTCCTCCCCGTCTTCGTCTTCCCTCCACCCGTTCCCGTTTTCCTTTCCCTTTCTCGACACCCAGGTGGAGCACCACATTCAAGGAGTCCATTGCTAACATTGGCCATGTGCTGCTGGTGCTCATGCCGTGGCGGGACCCTGTTCCCTTGACACGCGCGTGGTGTTTGTGGGAGATCTTCTGTGGCATCAGCAACGAAGGCACAGAGGTCACCATCCAACTGCCCAAGAGCGAGGAGTTAGAACTGGTCCTAGCCATCGCGGGTGACTTTAAAGCCGTCACAGACACGCTGGTGCGCGTGCAGGCAGAGCGAGCCGACGCCTTCAACCCACACGACAAGCACATGATCTTCACGGCGATCGAGTCGTGGGCGGGCGGCTTCAGCGCAGTCAACCAGGCCGTGAAGGACCAGCTGCGCGCGTGGTGCCTGCAAAAGGCGGTGGGTGCCGTCGAAGCCATGCGAGCGCGTGGCGAGGACAGCACTGATGCCTTCGCGGAGTTGTGCGGTGCGGTTGGGTCGGTGCTGAGCGAGTTTGGCGAGCACGACAAGGCCATTGCCTACTACGAGACAGCGCTGGCAATCCGGCTCCGCACCGAAGGGGAGAAAGGAGGGAACGTGGCGGTGCTGTACAACAACCTCGGCAACGCCTACTTCAGCAAGGGCGACTCCTGTAAGGCCATCCACTACTTCGAGAAGGCTCTCGCCGTCTTCGTGGAGGCGCGTGGGGAGAAACACCCCAGTACAGTCGACACATACAACAACCTCGGCAATGCATACAGCGGCAAGGGCGACGGTGACAAGGCCATTGAGCTGTACCAGAAGGCCCTCACCATCAAAGTGGAAACGCTGGGCGAGAAACATCCCAGTACAGGCGACACCTACGGCAACCTCGGCAACGCCTACTTCAGCAAGGGCGCGTACGACAAGGCCATTGAGCTGCATGAGAAGGCGAAGGAGGTGTTTGTGGAGACGTTGGGCGAGAAGCACCCGAGCACAGCCACGACGTACAACAACCTCGGCAACACACACTACAGCAAGGGCGAGTACGACAAGGCGATTACCTTTTATGAGAAGGCGCTCGCCATCAGGATCGAGACGTTGGGCGAGAAGCACCCGAACACAGCCGACACATACAACAACCTCGGCGCCGCCTACGTCGACAAGGGCGAGTACGGTAAAGCCATCCACCACTACGAGAAGGCGCTCGCCGTCTTTGTGGAAATGCTGGGGGAGAAGCACCCAAGCACAGCGAGCACGTACGGCAACCTCGGCATCGTCTACACCTACAAGGGGGAGCACGACAGAGCCATCCAACTTTGTGAGACGGCCCTCGCCATCGCGGTGGAGACGTTGGGTGAGAAACACCCGAGCACAGCCGACACGTACAACAACCTCGGCCTTGTATACGGCAGCAAGGGCGACTTCGACAAGGCCATTCAGCTGTACGAGAAGGACCTCGCCATCACGGCGGAAGCGTTGGGCGAAAAGCACCCGAGCGTAGCCATGACGCTTGAGAACATCGGCCTGCTGCACGCCAAGCGCGGCGACAAGCAGCAGGCCTGCGCCTATGTCCAGCAGGCACTCGACGTTTTCGCGACCACGCTTGGAGCAAACCACCCAAACACCCGCAAGGCGGAGCGCAACCTGCGGCGCATTCGCGGTGGTGCTGTGACCAGGCAGCACACATCCACGCAACACGTGTCAGAGTCTCGACTTCAGCAGCAAAACGTGCTTGCTCATCGCAACCTTCTGCTTCGGTTCATCTCTTCTGCTGTTGTATACCAGTCGTTTGCTCCACAACGCAACCTGCTCATGCGATTTCTCGGTGCAGTTGCACATGCTGATGTTGACGCAAGACGCCCAGCAAACACAGGCAGCGACAATGAAGACAAGAAGACAGGGACTGGGCACGGCTGTCCTCGTGGCTGCTCTGCACCAGCAAGAGCGTTGTACAAGGACGCTTGCAAGTGCCCTGGTGAGCCTGTTGCCGGCTGGCTGCGGAAGCGTGGGCGGCGGAGGGCCGCCTTTCGCCCGTGCTGGTGCAAGTTTGACGACGACGGCCACCTCGCGTACGGCAAGTCCGCTTCAGGCACGGCCAAGCGGCGCATCCCCCTTTCCAGCGTGCTGTCAGCTGAGCTCGCGCATGGTGGCGAGGAGATGCACGTTGCTGTTCCCGGCCGCACCTTCGTCTTCCGCCTGGACGCGCACTCTGACACCTCGCTCGCTGACTGGTGCACCGCCATCAACAACCGCATCAACACCACCACTTGACTGTGTGCTGTGCTGTGTGTGTGTGTGTGTGTCTGTGCTTGCTGGTTTGCTGGTTGGTCACTTTGCTCCTTTGCTTCTGTCTTTCCTTCACGTGCTTGCTTGCCACTTCACTTGCCTTGCTTGACGTTGCTTGTTTGATACTTTAGTAAACTCTTCACGCAATTCAACCGGCTGACAAGCAACGAGCATACTACCACACCACACGTCAACCATACACTGGCAAGCAAACAGGTCCTCTTTCACTCCCACGTCCACGCCCACAACGCCCGCCTTGCGTATCAGCTCCAGGGCGCGGCCGGCGGAAAAGTAGTTCCATCAGCACGTGAATGTGTGGGGGCATCTGCAGCAGGTTCGGTTGATCAGCGTACACAACGCCCAGCAGCCTTGTCGCAGGGCTGGGTCGCCAGCCTGGGGTCGCTGTCCGTCCGCGACCGTGCGGAACAACACGTCGTCGCTGCACGCCCACGCCAATCGGGGATGCGCCCAACTCTCGTGCTGCACCTGCGCCACCGTTAATTCCTCCTCGGGGTTCAGGTCACCCGTCCTCAGCGACAGGTCCCACCATACAAAGGGCTGCAGCGACATCAGGAATGTGAAGAGGCGCGTCCCAGCAGCGCGCTTCCGCAATCTTGTCTCCTCGTCGGTCTTGCTGTGCATCATGCCCGCGAACTCGGCGGCAATCCCCGACGGCAGCTGCAGCTTCGTCTCGAACGGGGGCCTGCAGCGTCTTCTGGCTGACGACCACGTGCGTGCCCTTGCCCACCTCGCGCGCGCGTGTCCTCGGGCGAGACGTTAGAGCACGCCACCCGCGTTTGGGGCGCACCCGTCCGTCTGCTCAAACCACAATCGTGTTGACGGTGTTGTTGTGCTGTAACGTGCGCTTGTGGTCCCGGCGCCCAACACACGTGCCTGCCGGGGTTGGCGAGCGACCTGAACCCAACCGGCCGTCGGCGGCGGCGGCTCGATGGTGAGCCCACCATCCCCGTGCACACATCCCGACGGATGTGCTTGCTCTTGATGGTTGTTGGTGCTGGCGGCGAGGGGAGGAAACGGACGCCACGATAGACGGGCAAATCGCTGGGCGTGGATGTGGAGGCGTTGTGGCAACGGAGCATGTCAGCTGCTGGCACTTGTCGACATAGATGAGCTGCAATGTATGCAAAAGCGAGGAGAGATGGTTGCCTGTTGGACAGGCGAGGAGACGGGTGAGTGATGGATGAGGAGGAGCACGACAGGTACACACGGGGAACTCAGGTGAACTGAAAACAAGGGCGCAAACGCACGCAAACATGCACACACATGAACACACGCACACATGAACACACGCACGCACCGTCGATGGAGATGTCTGCGTCGTTGGCAAGAGCAAGCCAGGTGTGGGTGACGGTAGTGGCGGCGATGGTGTCGATGCGCTTTAGCTCTTCGTTCGATTGAGACAGCTGCCATACACGAGGTGCAATGCAGAAGGGATTGTGGTGGTGGTGGTGGTGGTGGAGAACAGGCGGTGGAGTGAAAGGGTGAGAGACACTCTTCATGGAAGGACATTATGTTATCCAACACACCTTCCCCATCGCACAAGTTCACACACACACACACACACACACACACACACACACACACACACACACACACACACACACACACACACACACACACACACACACCATCATCAATGAGGCCTGCGGCGGCAGTGCGCTGGCGGTCAAACGTGAGCGTGGTCAGGACACGGAAGAGCTGCCGGATGTGGATGAAGTGCAGATTGCTTAGGCAGTCCAGGGTGCCGTCCAACATGAGCGCGCAAATGGGTGCAGCAGCTTCGGGTGGTCTGTGGCCAGCGACAGTAGCAGCACAGGCACGGCTGCGCCCACCTCCTGTGCCTGCCCCATGCCAATGTGCGCTACCAGTGCTCGAACCACCTCCGGCCGTGGAGGCGAGGTGGCGTACGCGGCCTCCTGCTGCCCGCTGTCAGGGATGTCCGCCGATGGGTCCACATCCACCTTGAAGCAC